AAAAAAAAAAAAGACAAAGCAAGTAGGGGGCCGGGAGATAGCTCAGCACAAAAAGCGCTTCCCTGGCAAGCACAAGGGCCCGAGTTCAATCCCCAGTTCCACAAAAAAAGAGAAAAAGACAAAGCAAAACAAAGCCCCAAAAGGACAGAGGTGGTGCCTTTGGCATTCTGAGTACTCTGCCTCCCGTTTTTAAGGTGGGACCTTGCAGTGGCGCAGGCTGGCCTTAACTGTGGCGCCAGTGGCTGCCCTGCCTCAGCCTCCAGGGAGCTGGCACTGCAGCCATGTACCCACAGCTGGGCTCACCTTTTCCACCACAGTGGAAATCTTCTTGTGGAATGGGCAGTGTTTGAGATAGCATCTGGCTATGTAGTTCAGGCTCACCTGGAACTCACCGTGTGGCCCAGACTGGTCTCAAACTCACGGCAGCCATCCCAGCCTTTGTGGGATGAGGCTCCCTCTGCACATACAGAATCATCTAACACCCCATGGCAGAGTGAACAGGCGCAACCTTGCAACTGCAGACCTGGCTGCGGGCCACTTGGTCCTCTGGGAAAGAGGCGGCTGTCGCCTGTGCACCTCTCATTGTTTAAGAGATTTTGTTTTGGAGATAAGAGTCCTGCCCTGTTGCCCAGGCTGGCCTCGAACTGAATGCCCCATCCTTTTGCCCCAGCCGCCGTACAGGGGTGACAGGCGTGTGGCTTCCCCATGTGTCACAGGGCCTGTCTTCCAGGATGGGCAGATGGAATCACAGCGCCTGTGCCTGTTCCTCCTGCCCATGCTCCTGGCTTCCCGGCTGGCCCAACATACTCTGGGCACCTCACCCCTCTTCTGCCACTGCCCAGGGAACAGACCTGGCTGCCTGCTACGGATGGAGCCCAGCCCAGGTGGAGCTCCCCGCTGCACTGAGGTCATCCTGCTGCCCCGATGGCCAAACATGCTTGAGGTCAGGTGAAATCACCGCCAGCCCACTGGGCCCGAGCTGGGAGCCGCTCAGCTCCCACTGCCACCGACTGCTGGGTTCACTATCTCTCCCTGCCAACGGGGGATGGCTGCGGGTGCCTGACATTTCTCCTGTGATGGGCAGAGGAGTGGCAGAGAGGGGCATCTGAGCTCCGAGGGTTGGGGGCAGCAGGCAAGGCAGACGATGCCCACACCTCGCCTGCACTGGCTCAGGAATCTCTGTCGTTGGCAGGCCCCCATTTGCTATGGGGGAAGAAACAGAGGCTGGGACGGCAGGTCCAGCTAGACAGATAGCTTCCATGCTTTGTGGAAAAGGAGTTCAATTTATTTCCTATTTTTAAAATGCAAAAATGTTCCTTGGGTACATGGTCTAACATCTAGAGGCCAGCTTTTCAGGGGCACAGAGCTCCAGCCTGTGGCATCCTCAGTCACTCCAGGTGGCACCCAGACAACAGGCCAGCTGCCCTCTGTCCCCATGCAGCTCTTGGAAGGGTGTGACCCTGGGGCGACACAGCTGGCCCAGCCTGTCCTACTGTGCCCACAGCAGCCTGTTGCGATGGCCAGCCCTCCCCACAGAGCAGCAGAAGTGGCCTCACCGGAGGACACAGGGTCACCGTGAGCCCTGCAGGAACTCCTTGCGCAGCCACAGAGAGTCGCGGTGGAAGCGGGGGTCGCCCAGCCGCAGGGCGGTGCGCTTGTAGAAGTAGCAGTACAGCACTGCTGCTGTGGGGGAAAGGGTGCTCAGGACTGGCCTGCGGCCTCCCCAGGGCTACAGGGCAGAGGCGGCGGGACCCACTGGGACCCTGGCAGGCCGCGGCCGCGAGGTCGTTACCCAGCCTCTGGAGCACGAAGAGCGCCTGCAGCCCATTCGTCCACACGAAACTCTGGGAGTTTTTCCAGCGCAGGTTCTAGAGGAAAGTGGGACTGGTCAGTGCTGCATGAGGCCTGCTGTCTCGCTGGGCACAGCCTGAGCTGCTCCTCAGTGCGAAGCAGCTCGTCTCAACCGCAGCCTGGCGCCCAGACCCCCGAGCCCTTCCAGTTCCACAGGGGGCCCTTCAGCCCACTGCCTCTGCCATGGACAACTGGCCACCCGGCCATGTGGCTGGGTCCTGCCTCTCCAGATGTCTCCAGCTTGGCTCTCTTAGGAGAAGGCTCAGATGCGGCAGGCTGTCACCCACCACAGCTGTGGCTCACGAAGCTGGGGCCTCTATGGTCCAGTACAGCACCAGAACAGCTCAGGAGGTGCTGAGGCTGTGGGTCCAGAAGAGACTGGCACCCGAGGCCTGGCTCCACTCTGTTCGCTGTGATGCTGGGGACAGAAGCTGTGTCTCATGCATTCGGGATGCATGCTCTGTCACCCACTATCCCCTGCCAAGATCTCCAGCAGGATGGGGCGCAGGAGACCACAGAGACACAAGAATCTGTGAAGCCAGGAACCCGAAGGCAGGAAGGTCAGGCTTGCTACAGGCCTCGCACAGCCGTGTGGAGAGTATTGGGACGGCAGAGCGTGGGGTGCTAAGGGAGGGACTGTCCTGCTGACCGCTCCCCCAGATGTCACTGTCTAAACCCAGCCTACGCACAGTGAACCCAACAACAGCTTGGCTGCATGTCTTGGGGCTCGCAGCTGGTGGGTGTGAGGCAAGGTTACTGAGCAACAGACTCGCCCCTTGCCCAGAGCTGCTCCTCAACCCAGAGACAGGTGGGGTGCAGAATCCGTAGAGCCTACCCAGCCAGAGTGAGGCCTGCTTCCATCCCCAGCTCCACAACAACTCTCTCAGTAAACTGCTTCTGAGCCAAGCATGGTGGGGCATGCTGGGAATCCCAGCACTCAGGAGGCTGAGGCAAGAGGATCTTAAGTTTTTTATTTATTTATTTATTTATTTATTTATTTATTTATTTATTTATTTATTTGTGTGTGTGTGTGTGTGTGTGTGTGTGGCCAGCTCAGCCCACCAGGGGGCGGGGCTGGCTGGCATGTGGTGCTGGGGGATTGAACCGCGGTCCCTGTGCTTTGCTAAGCTTGTTCTAAGTAGGTGCTTTAGACCACTGAGCCATCTCACCAGCCCAGGATCTTAAGTTTGAACCCAGTCTGGGCAACTAAATAATTCTGTACAACCCTATCTCAAAATAAAAGGTGCTGGGGTGAAGCTCAGGGTGAAGGTTAATCCCCAGCGATGCAAAAACCCAGCTCTACCCTCCACTGGCATGGTGGCGCATGCCTGTAGTCCCAGCACGTAAGAGGCCGAGTCAAGGGGAACATGTGGAGCTCGAGGTCAGCCTTACCGCAGTGAGGTGTGTCTCAAAGAGCAAAAGAGCACAATGGCAGATCACCCCCAGATCAGGCTGAACGCTAGGTACACTGCACACAGGGGCTGGGCAGAGGCTTCCTGCGCCTAGAGCTCGGCCCCGAGGCCCCTTTGCTCCCCTTTTGCGGGGTCCTGCTGCCTCTGGGCTCTGGATGGCTGTGGACCAGAGCCACTGCTTACCATGACCCACACGTGGAGAGCGATGCTGAGCGCGAGGTACACGGCCGTCAGGATGATGGTGCCTTTGAACTTACGGAACAGGAGACTGACCAGGCCGGCCTGGAAGACGAAGGTGCTGAAGAACATGAGGAAGACAATGATGGTGTTGAAGAGGACTGCGATGTCCTGGATGCTGCGGACAGAGCACAGAGCGCCCGTGATGGGGAGGTTGGGCCCAAGAGTGCCTGTCCTGCCCTGTGAGGGCCCGGGCTTGAGGGCCTAGTGGCATGAAGCTATGGGTACCGCGGTTCCAATCCAGAGACAGGCTGTCCTGTGGGCACGTCTGTGGGCTGTCCTCACCGCTTCTTGTTCCTCTGGGGCTGGACCGGCAGGCAGGTTCATCCCAAGACTGCCCTTCCTAGGCGGGGCCGCAGGGCCTCCCAAAGGTTAGCCCCACCCCATCCCCAGGCAGCTGGGCTCGCTGGTCAGGAGACACATGGACCCTGCCTAAGTGTGGCCAGTGTCCTCTTCTTCCAGGAGACCGACCTTGGGGGAGGAAGCCTGAGCCCAGGGCTGTGGTTTCAGCTGACACACGGCCACAGAGAGCCACGATGCCTCCCCTGCACTGGCAGCTTTCACTAGATAACAACAGTGCCTGCCACTGCGTGCGGGCTGCACACAAAGTGCCTGACAGGCAGGACAATGTTTCTGCCTCCGATAGAGAGCAGCAGGGCAGGAGCCCCCCTGCTATGGGAGCTGCTCGCTGTGCCCAAACCTCGTGAGGACACAGAACAGGCCCCGGGGCCATGCCTAGGCACCCCAGGGAACCCCAAACAATGTCTGATTTTATCCACACTGCCAGTTCTCTATGCTCAGCTTCATTCATGAGGCCTGGGAAGGGCCCCTGGGCGTCTGGCAGTCTACCTTGGAGTGGCAACCTTGGCCCTGTGACTGGTGACACTGAGCAACCTCCCGCTGTGGCTCGGCCTCCTGGAGCCCCACTGCGGACTCACATGAAGAGCACCAGCTGGATGACAGGGGCCATGCGGAGGAGCTCGGAGAACGCGTTGACGAAGAGGTCGTAGGTCAGCAGCAGGAACTGCAGGGCCAGCACCAGACTGTAGCTGCTGGTCTGCAGCATCTTTCAGGTGCTCCCTGGGCCCGGGCCACATCCCGTGTCCCCAGACAGCACAGCGCCACCCCCTCCCTGGGGTGCCAGGGTAGGCGCGACTTCTTCCCAGAGCACTGCCTCCTAGGCTAGGCCAAGGACCTTTTGGGGTGAAAAGAGAGGTGACATTAGAAATCCATTAATGAACACAGACCAAGCACCTGCTGTGGGCGAGGCAGCACTGCAGAGACAAACTAGGGAACAAAAGTGGCAACCAAATACCCCAGCCTGTTGCTCCTCCTAGGAACCCTCACCCTCAGACCTTTCTGCGCCTGGGTCCTCTAGAGCCAGAGCTGTTCCTAACCAAAACGTCCAGGAGTACTAGGAACCAGGGCAGCTGCCCAGTCATGGGACAGCAGTAACCATGGCCAGAGCAGCAAACCCAGCAGGGTGCGGCAATGCACGCCTGCAATCTCAACACTCTGGGAAGCTGATGCAGGACGATCTTCAGCTTGACTTCAGCTTGGCAACTCAGTGATTTCGTGAGAACATCCTAAAAGGGGGAGGGGAGGCTGGGGATGTAGGCCCTGGGTTCAACCCACACCCTTGCTAGGGGCAAAAGCAAATACCTACGCAGCATTTGCAGTGTTTCAAGAGGTCTGCATAATCAAAAACATCACTCAACCCTCACAGCAACCTCCAGAGAAATGCAAGACACATTTTTTTTTTTTTTTTTTTGGCGGAACTGGGGATTGAACTCAGGCCCTTATGCTTGCCGGGGAAGCGCTTATTCTACTGAGCCATCTCCCCGGCCCCAACAAGACAGTTACTCTACTCCTGTTACACGTTAAAAAAGCAGAGGCCAAGTTACCCAGCCAGTAAACAGCTGGGCTGAGATGTGGAAGGGGGCCACTTGGGTACGGAGGGTGCTACCTGCAGCCTGCGCTGTCTGGCGTGTGATGAAGTAGGAAAAGTGTCCACATCAGGTGGGAAGCGGTACAGGTAGAAATATCTGAAAGCAAATAAGGCTTCCCTCAAAAGGGCACACCACCACAGGGCAGCAGCACAGGGGAGCCAGGTAAGGGGCGCTGGGCCTGTCCTGTCACAGAGAGGACTTCCAGTTAAAAACAAAAGACCTACATGTTGCTCTGGGAGTGCCCTTCCACCCTGAAACAATCAAATTTCAAAATGGGCTGGGTGTGGTGGTGCACACCTGCAATCCCAGCACTTGGGAGGCTGAGGCAGGAGGGCACTGTGAGTTCAAGACCCGCCTGAACTATTAATGAGACCCTGTCTCAAACACCCAAAACCAATGGACGGTGGTGGTGGCGCACACCTGTAGTCCCAGCTGGCACTCTGGAGGCTGAGGCAGGAGGATCACCAGGAGTTCGAGGACTACACAGTGAGTTCAAGGATAGCCTGAATACGTGGAGAAACCCCCATCTCAAAACACCCCAACAACAAATAAAGTACTCCAAGAACAACAAAAAACCACCATCACCACCAAAAGAAACTCGAAGAGTCACAAAACGATTAAACGAACATCTGTAAAGCACTTGACACCTCACAAACACTCTGCACGTTCCTAATATTGCTTAATCCCGGGATTACCTGGGCAAGCAGCCACGCTAATGCGCCCTGCCCCTTCTGCAGAGGCTGTGGGGCGAGGGCCCCTTCCTACACGACGGCCGTGGCTGTTTTGGGCGCTAGTATCGCCAGCGCCCCAGGGCGACCACCCAGATCACATCCCTAATCCTCGCAGCAGCTGTGCGCGCGAAGTCTAGCTCCCGTCGGGGTTGAAATCGCTCGGCGGTCGCGGCTGGCCAGCGCCGCGCCGCCTCACCCGGGCCAAGCCGGCGTCTCCGGGGTCGCGCTCGCCGGAAACGCCCCTCGCAACCCGGCCACGCCGGCTCCGCACAGGCCGTCCGCCGCTTCCAGCCGCCTGCCTCGTGCTGGAGCAGTTTTCCTCACGCTTTCCAGCCCACTTGAGAGTGGGACCGTCTGATAAAAGCCCAAACCCAAAAGGAGAGCGACAAAAGTCCTGACTCCTGGTCTCCCCACCTGCTCCTCGCCCGCGCTCACCTGAAGGAGCCCGCGGCGGTTGCCATGGGGACGCCGCGCTGCTTCCGGAAGCCGGCCCGGATTCCCGGAAGTCGAGGGCCACCCATCCGTTCCGGGTCCCGCGGGCTGCCATGCTTGTCCTTCCCTTTTTGGGACCGCCTGCTCCGCTTATGTTGAGAGCCAGCCCCGGAGGGAGGCTGTACGTCAACCAGAACAATTCCGCTTCTTCGCTATAAAGGATAAAGAACAGAGCAGAGACGTCGCGGTGCCCCGAGGCCCTGAACCCGGGCGCGGGGAAGACACGCCCGCGGAGGAACGGCGGCCGGGCGGAACCTTGGCGCGTGGGCAGCGGCGTGTCCCGCGCCCCCGGGGACTGGACTCCCTTTCCCAGGAGGCCGCGCGCGCAACCGGAAGTTCGTAAGCCTATAAGAGCGCTCCACGGCGCGCTCTCAGCTAGTCTTGCAAACGGGGGCTGGGTGCTGTGAGGGCGGCTGAAAGAAGCTCCAGGATTGGCGCCGTAGTCCCTGTGGCTCCTGGCATACAGGCGACCTCAGAGTTCCCGGCCCGTGGCGTACAGCTGTGGCTTAGGGGTGAGAAAGAGCCCGGGCTGGGATGCCAGGGACCTGGGTTCCAGTGCTGACTCCGCTTGCTGCCGTACTTCGGGCTGTTGCTAGCTTTGTCTCGCCTTCAGCTTGCTCTTGTGGGAAATGGACCCTGATCTCCGCGCCCTGCCTTGCACGGGCGATAGCTGTGAAAGCACGAACGCTTTGGGGAAGGTACGAAAAGCAGTCGAGCCGCCGCCCCCTTTTCCACCCCAGGTTGGCTGGGACCAAGTGCCCTGCGGAGGGGACAGAGGTCAGCCCTGACTCGGTGCCGAGGCCGGCTGTGGTCACCTGCCTGGGATGTCAGGCTGCTCTGCCCTGAGTCCTGACGTGACACAAGTTCTCTTGTGAAGACGGCGCCTGGGTACTGAGGAGAGTACCTGTCGCAGCCCTGGCCAAGTCTCTTTCCTTGCTGTTAGATAAGGTTAGGGCTTGAATCCCAAGTCCTGTTCTCAGGATTCCCAGGCTGGGGGAACAACACTTTTTGTTCTTTCAACTGTTTGTGATTCTGAAATTTGAAAGGATTGTGAGAGTTTCAAATACAGTACAGCTTTTTTCTAAGACCAGTGGGACACACCCCCTTCACCCCTAAGCCCGAGCCTAGCGTAGTGGAGGTTAGTGGTGGCGGAGCTGGCGTGTGTGCGCCATCAGGTTTCCATCCCCGCCCTAGGACTCCTGCAAAGGACTTGCGGGGAAGTGTTAGGTTACAGTGGATCCCTTAGGTCAAGGTTGATGGACCGCAGGTCATGGGCCACATCCGGCCACCTGCATGGTTTTTACATGTTGACATGATCTTTACAAACAAAGTTTTTTTTACAGGGTACTGGGGACTGAACCCAATTTTGAGGCAGTGTCTCACTAAGTTGCTGAGATTCGGATTGGAACTTAGGATCCTCTTGTTTCAGCCCACAGTGCTGGGATGACAGTCATGTCCCATCATGCCCAGCTAAAACATTACCCTTGTTTGACATGTGAAGAACAAGAGGAAGTCTGATTTCAGCGTTCACAGAGGGTCCCTGAAGCACAGTCACGCTCATTTGCCAGGTGGTTGTCTGGCTGCTCTTGCAGAGGTTGAAATATTTGTCACCTGGGCCTTGCTGAAGAGTTTGCTGCCTCCTGCCTTAGAATGGGGCTCTCTCCTGAAGCCCCAGTGGTCCCAGGGCCGCTGGCTCCCTCCCCTGGAGCAGGGAGGGCTTGTCTGTGTGCTGTGGGCAGCAGGCATGCTCTGACTTCCTGTCCTCAGCCATGAAAGTGTCCCATCCTCTGCTCTAAGCCTGACACAGAGCAGTAGTCCAGGACTTTATTTAGGGGTGTGGATACAGTCCCTTTTGGATCATATTTACTTTTTTTTTTTTGACGGAGCCCTTGTGCTTGTCAGGCAAGCGCTTATTCTACTGAGACATCCCTCCAGCCCCTCATATTTGCTTTTTTTAAACAAAGAAAAAGGTGATTGAAATCCCAACACTTCAGAAGGCTGAGGCAGGAGGATTTTACCCTGACCCGGGCAACTTAGCCTCCTACTGAGACACTGTCTCAAAACAAGAGTGAGAAGGGCGGCTCCATGTGAACTCATATCTCCCTTGTCAAGAGAAGATTGTGGAACTAGCCGTCCTCAGATGCTGGATCCTGCAGATCGGTGCTCGTCACAGCTGCTGCGCAGCAGGCCTGGTGGGTGTGGGGCCGGCGCCTGGCGAGCTGCAGCTTCTGTGCCCTGGCAGGAGTTGAGAAGGCAGCCCAGGGGCCGGGCGGCAAGTCCCTGAGCCCAGCAGCCGGGCCACGAGGCCTGCCTCCCTTCCTTGGGAAGTCTGCCCTGCTTTGGCCTCCCATCTTCCTCTCCCAGAGATGGCTGTGGCTGGGATCACCTGTGAGAGCCAGTGCCTGTCCTGGTGTGTGGAGCAGGCCTGGCAAGGTTGGCATCAGGGCTGCTGAGGTGTGGGGGGCCCGGGCACCACGAGTGCCAGCTCTTGTCTGTCTTTGGACATGAGTTCTCCCTGCGCTGCCGAAGCTGATCTTGAACTCCTGGCTCAAGTGGTCCTCCCTGCCTCAGCCTCCCGAGTAGCTGCGACAGCAGGCGTAGGCCCCGTAGGACCCGTACGCTGTGAGCCGGAATGTTTGTTAGCACTTGGGATAAAACCCTACAAGAGCAATAAGCAAAAAGTGTAATAATTGGCTCACAAAATTTCTTAAACATTTTTCTCCTACTAACAGCCATGGCCGAGGGGACAGAGCCGGCTGGGGGCTGTGAGGCCAGCAGACCTGAGTTGGACACCCCCCTCCTTACTGTCCTTCCCGCGTTGCGCAGTGGTTCTGAGTGGTTCCTCATGTGTGAGAAGGGGTGCTGCTGCTCCCAGACTCGGGGAGCAGTGTGAGGGTCTGGCGCACACAGCCAGCGCCCAGGGTGGCGCTCTTACCGCTGCGCCTTTCCAATGCAAACAGGTACGCAGGTGCTAAGCGCCCTGCACAAGGCGCCCACCACAAGGCGCCCACCAGGCCCAGCGGAAGGAATCAGGTGCGGTCGCCCTGGGGAGGGGTCGGGCGTGGGAGGAGCCGCGCTGGGGGGCCTCGTCCTTGGGCCGCCTTGAGGGCTGGGCTTGGCCGTGTGCGCGTTGTGTGCGCACGCACGGGTGCGGGCGTGGGGGCACACAGCCCTGGCCCTGCCGTCCCTCCCGGGTGAGCGCGCCGCCCCGGGTTGCACCCCCAGGCCCGTGCGGGGCTTCCCGGAGTAGCCGCAGGGCTGTGTGAGCCGGGGCTGAAACCAGAGCTGGCTTCTGAGTTGATCTGCAGATGTGGAAAGCCCTAAAATTAACCCTCTTTCTCGAGCGTGACTTCTTGCTTCCTCGTTTCTTTCCTGGACTTTCCCCAGAGAGGAGAAAGCAGAAGTCTGAGGCCAGAGACACCTTCGGGTGGCCCTAGATTCTGGGAGGGGGGGCAGAGTGAGGGCTGAGCTCCTCCTCAGCGCTGAGGGCTGAGCTCCCGCAGGGGCGCTGGCCCGAAGCCACCGGTCAGTCCGTCGGGGAAGAGGAACCTTGCATAGAAGCCTCAGGCTGCCTTGCAGTACTGGTTGAGTGTCTCCATCCGGAGTCCAAACTGCTCTGGAGGTTTACTGTTTTGTTTTATGATATTTTTTTAGACAGGGTCTCACTATATAGATCAGCCCAGCCTTGAGCTCAGCGAGTAGCCCAGGGTGAGATGGCGCTCACAGAGAACCTCCTGCCTCAGCCTCCTGAGTGCTGGGATCACAGGCACATGCCCCTGTGCCCAGCTATATTCTGAAGCTTTTTTGATCACCAAAATGAAGCCCAAACTGCGTGACTCGCAGAAATTCTAAAATTCTCAGCTGGGTACCATAGCGCACATACAATCCCAGCTACTCAGGAGGCTGAGGCAGGAGGACTATAAATTCAAGGGCTACTGGGTAACTTAGCAAGATGCCGCCTCAAAATAAAAGCACAAGGGCGTCTGGGCTGTAGCTCAGTGGTGGGACACTTGCCCGCCTGTGTGCAGCCCTGGGTCCCGTTGCCAGTAGGACAACAACAGAAACCAGTAAGAGCCTTGGAAGCCTGCAGCCCTTTGCGATGCTGCTGCGAGCCATGCGCATTTGCAGCCCACTAGCCATCCAGGCTCTGGGGCGCAGCGCCAGGCAGGCGGCAGGCTGCTGAGGCAGAGCCCATGTCCTGGGCTTAAAGGATGCCGGGGTGTGAGGGGTGGCCGCCTGGCCTGTGGGGACATGTGGCCCTCCTGCCCTTTCCAGGAGCGCGAATGGCCATGGCTCCTCGGGGCTTCTACCTGGCCTGCCTGCTTCTGGGCTCCCTGGGCTTCCTCTGTGTCCTCTTCACCACCTACTGGGCCCAGCGCTGGCGTGGCGGCTTGGCCTGGGACGGCAGCCTGCACATGTTCAACTGGCACCCTGTGCTCATGGTGTCGGGAATGGTGCTGCGCGACGGGGCCGGTGAGTGTGGGCTGCGGGGGTGCCGGGTGCGGGGCTGCCTGGCAGGCTGCGTGTGGGTGCTTCGCAGTCCTCGGGCAGGAGTCTGTGACCCATCTGTCAGGCCTAGGTAGTACGCACTGCAGGCCTTCTGCTGGGTCTGGGTGCGTGCCTGGCTTCTCTACTCCAGGAAGTCGAGGCAGGAGCTTTGTTAAATTCCTGCCCAGCCTAGGCAGCATAGCGTCTCTGGGCAAGACAGTCTGCAAAATCAAGAATAAAATGAGGGCCAGATGTGGAGATGTATGCCTGTAATCCAGCACTCAGGAGGCTGAGGCAGGAGGATCACTGTGAGTTCAAGACCAGCCTGATCTGCAAGCAAGACCCTGTCTCAAAAAATAAGTAAATAGAGGGCTGAGGAGGTTGCTTATCGCAAAGGCCTAGGTTCCATCACCCGTACCACAAGTAAATTAAACAGAAGTGGCGCTAGGCTCCAGAAGCCTCGCTGTGCACAGCAGTGGCTCAGCTCCTCGTGTTGGGCAAGCCCTGTGAGTTCGATGTGCAGCCCCCACCCTGGAGGCGGGCACAGCTAGGGCTGTCTCGGGTTTGCATTCTCACGCGCACTTTGTTTTTGTCCCGTGCACTGAAACCCGCGCCTCACGAAGTGGGAAGTGGGCCTCCCTCTCCACTGGTGCAGGCATAGTGGGAGCCACACCGGCACGCACGCCTGCAGTGCCTGACTCGAAGGCTGAGGCGGGAGCGTCACCGCGTGGGTGGGCTGCGCAGCAAGACCCCGTCTCGGAAGCGAGGCGGGGATGGTGGCGCCCTGGCAGCAGCTTACTGTGTGCACGGCACGTGTTCAGCCTCTTCTGTTGTGCCAGCCAGCTGCGGGCTGTGAGCACCACCGACAGGAAAGAGCGCCAGAGCGCGGCTGCTCTGCGCCGACTGCCCGTCACCCGTTCTTTCTGTTCTGATAGTTGTCTGAGGTGGAGGCTTCACCAGGTGCCCAGCCGGCCTTGGACGTGGGCTGCAGGCGTGCGCCTCTGCTCAGCCACGGCTGTGCTCTGGGCGGGCCACCTTGGCTGTGAGAGCTGGAGTTTTGTTTGTTTTGGAGGTCGGCTCTCTGTGTAGTTGGCGTTGGCTTTGAACACACTGCATATCTCAGGCTGGCCTCGAGCTCATGGCGATCCTCCTGCTTCAGCCTTCTGCGTGCTGGACTGACGGGCATGCACCACACCTGGCTGAGAATTTGGTACTTTTTAATCCATGCAGCTGTGTCAAACCACAGTTAACAAACAACTGAATGGCTGGTGTGTTTTTGAGGCACTGGCAGTTCCACACAGGGCTTGCGCCGAGTGTAACCCTTCCCAGGCCCTGCCCATTTTGTTCTTTCTTTTCTTTTTCTTTTTCTTTT